GGGGGGGGGGGGGCACGCGCTCTTGTCATGTATGCAAGAAGTAGCTGTTTGTCTCTCCTCGATTGTGGTATCTATTTTTGGGCTCACGTTTACGAGTTGTGTATGTTTCCGCACGATTGAGCGCCGGGGGTGCGTCTCCAGCAAACAAACAGCTGTTTACTGCCCCGCCTGCCTGTGGTCATGGAGTCTTGTTTCCCTCCTCTCTCGCTTGGTCTCCCGCTACAACCCCGCGTGTTTGCTTCTGCTGTAGACACGGCATTTGCTCAAAGGGTGTATGTTCGGTCAGGTGGTTGGCGTAGTTTAGAGCGCTGGCAAAATCCTCGAGAACTATCCGCCTTTTCCGGGACGAAAAAACACATACGTATACAGCAATCAAGCACGCGCTCGCTGTCCCCGAATGTATGCGTGCGTGTGTTTGTGTCCTTTGCCTGTGCCATCTACCAGAGCTTGGGAGTTGATTTGCCCTTATTTTGATGCAGCCGACATTCCTTTTGGGCCGACCACGTGTTACACAAGATACGTCGTAGCCTCTTCGGCGCTATCATTGTTGTCCAATCAAGACCGTCTGGAAGCTACGTAGGCATTAGGCTTGTGCCACTCTCAAGATGCACCACGCACTCTTTGCTTGAGATGAAACCCACACGCATATAGTACGTACCATCCGTGTTGTTTTTGTTGTTTCAAGGAGCCAAGAGGGTGGCGCTCTCCGCGCCAACTCGCTGTACGGGGAAAGGGAGATGCAGCTTTAATCCCTAACCTGAACCGTACAGTACCCTAAAGCGTCCGTGCATGCACAGATCTAGCCCAACCTGTGGTGGTAGGCTGTTCATGATCTTATGATCGAATCGCCATCAATGAGAACTCCAAAATTCGGCAACGTTTTCAACTACCCCCCCTAAATCCTCATTCCCCGGTTGTCTTATGTGCGTTCCGTGTTTATTTTGTGTTGCAGGACCGCGGTACAGTTCCTTTCTTCGGAGGGTCACCTGTACTCAACAATCGACGACGATCACTACCGCTCCACAGAGACGTGATTGATTTATTGTACAGTACACGATCAACGTAGTTGTTAGCGGGGTCTTGGTCAGTGCAGCAGGTGCTGGCGTTCTACCGGTTGGTTGGTCGGAAACAAGGCGCACATATGGCCAGAGTGGTCGCTGCAACACTGCGTGTTGTTCAATCAACCTGTGAGCAAGACGGCCAGGGCGGGTGCGGCAACAGGTGTGTAGCAGTAACTCTGATCGGGTGTAGTCAATCAACCGTTGCAGGACGGCACAGAATAGAAAGGTTAACATGGTGTTGCCTGTATGGTCTCTTCGGTCTTTGTTCCTCTACCTACCCTCCCCCGTTTTCCCTCAAACGTTGGCAGCATGAACAACATGATCCGCCTCGTTGCCACACAACAGTGCGGCGGGCGCTCACCCACATATGCTCAGCCGTGTGGCGCTTTACAGCGTGATTGGTTGCTTGTTGCTCTTGGCAGGGGACAGACTTGGGGCGAGAGCTTGGGTCCTGGCGTTCATGTGGGCATCGCTCAGACTCGCTCGCGAATCCGTCGTGTGCGTGCTTGATCGAGCGTAGACTTGGTGTCAGTCGTACGCATTATGTAGAGTCTTTCTGCCCCCCTGTGTTATGGTTTCCAGGAGCCGGAGTTGAGGGCCACTTTTGGCGCAGCAGCATCGGCTGCTGCCGCTCTCTGCAGGATAATTGCTGAGGGGTCACCGGTCTGTTGTTATTCACTGCTGTTGTCGTTGTGTACATCGTTAGTTAGCTGTGTTGCCGAACGTGTTTCCGGCAGGGGGAGGTTGCCACCGGTTGGCGTGTTGCTTTTCTCGGCGATAAAGCGTAGCTCTCAACCGATCATGTTGCAGCCAACGTATGATCCCGAGCGAATCTGCGAAAATGTTAGCATGTCCCGTCCTGATGAGTTGGGCAGGGCCACCTCCTGTTTTTTTCGTTACACCCTTCCTACCCTTTAGCTCCTTGTCTCCCCTGACCGTGCGAAACGCCTACCATAGCAGGACAACTGTCCGCGAAGCCTTTTCCACTATATATAATTCATGACGTTTTGTCGCCCACTTTGACCACCACCACCTGCAACGATGATTGGTTCAGTCGTTCGCCTCGACGAGGTGGCCGCGTAAAGAATGTGCGGCTGTCGTCGCCACCGTTGCATTTGGTGAACATCAAAAGCCGAAAGAGAGACCTACGATTCGATTCGTTGTGTGAGCCACAACGTCTTAGACGCATTCATACGGCTGGCCCCACGCACCGCTCTGTCTGCCTGCCCCTCCCCCCAACCTCTCTCGGCCTTTCTTTGTTCGCTTTGCCTCTTGCGCTCAGTATACGCTGCGGCAAAACGGGGCACCAACAGCAACTATTGTTCAACTCCTAGATATGGCAGCGATAACCAGCAGGCTGGTCGGTAGCCGACGTCATTCAACCACGAGGCAGAAGCCTCCGGACACGTAGATGGCAGCACCAGTAGGCTAGGCTAGGCTGGTCTACACCCGGCGAACCCATACTCGTGCCACAGTTGCATCCTCATCCTTGAGTGGTCGCCGGTGGTCGTGTCGTCCACGCCCCCCCCCTACACAACGTACGTCATCATGCCCGCTCCGCGTACCCCCTTCAATCGCTTCAGATTTCGCAGCGTCGCGATGAGTGCCTTGGCTGTCATCTGTCTCGCATCAGGCGGCAACGATGCGTTTTGGAAAGGCAACGGGGGCGACGCAATGAGGGTTAGGGTGGGCACACTGCGTGGAGCACCAAAGTTTGTCACGAAGTCAGACCCTCGTTGCGTACACTGTGTTTTAGTCTGCGCTTGGTCTAACTTGGGGTCTCGGAGCAGCGATTCCCCCGCCCGCAAAAAGTCACGAAAGGTTTTCTCAAATGCCTCCAAGCTCGCAGGGTCTTCAACCTTCGCAAATGGATGAAACATTGTCATTCATGTAGCCAGCATGCTTGGCGGTAGTATGCGAAACGGTGATCCTTGTCCGGTCACCGCATGAGAATGTCGGCGAACGCACAGCAGTATTTGTTAATCCAAGGCAGGACCAAGATTCTGTATTGCGAAAGTCCTCTTTCAGAAAATCACCTGGGTCCTTCTTCAAACGGGCACTCGGCTGTACAGAAGCCAAACGATTGGACTATGTATCTTGGGGGGGGGGGCAGCGTCATTGGCGAGTCGTTTGATGCTTTGCTGGCACGCGAGTATTATGGAAACAGAGTGCCGTTCATGTTGGTTCTCAAGCGCACCGAGGGTGCCTCCACCGGCGCACGAGCGCCCGGCTACAGCACCTCACCTCTCCTTTCTTGAAGGACGGGAGCGCTCTCAGATCCGGCTCCGCGATGAATGGCCGCCCGCCGTGCGCTGGCACCTCCTGCCCCAGCAGCTCTTCCAGGCGACCTCGCTGCTTCTCCGACATTTTCTTCCGAGGTTTGGAGAGAAAGGCATGTCTGCACGAGGACGGTACGTAGAGCGAGCGCGAGGAGGGGGCCGACATGCACCCTTAGCTCTCAGGCAATCTCCAAGCACTAGTGCATGTATGCATGCACCGTCTTGAAGTTCGTTGTACTGGATCTACACCGTACGTAACCTTGTCAGCCGTGCATGGAAGGGCTCATATAGCCCGCGTCGTCAGCGTTCCCTGCGCCTGTAGTATGTACCTTCTCTCTATCGCCTTCTGGATGTCCGTAACCGCCGCATTAACCTGCTCGATCGTCAACCGCCCCCGCGTGGACCTCGGCACGCCGTTCAGTTCCCCCACCGTCACCAGCTCTACCGGAACAACCTTGGGCATCACCGTGCGCCCGGTGGCGACGTTCGGCTCGGCGTCTCGCCCACCGCCCGCTGGCTCTGCCGCTTTGGCTTTTGCTCTTCGGTTGCCGCCACCCGAAGGCGCAGGAGGGACCGTCGACACAGCAGCAGCAGCAGCAGCGTCATCATCAGCAGCCGCGTTGGCCATCACAGCAGCCTCCCGCGCGGCGGGCACCTCCTCCGCGGCATGCGGGAGGTGTTCGGGGAGGGCCGACAAGGTGGCGGCTAGCTGCGCGGTCTGCTGCCGAGTCGCGTCGGACATGGCGCGACGAGCCTCATTGTCTCGACGGTGGGCATCAATGGCTTCGCGTAACGCCGCCGCCCTCCGCTCGACTTCGGACACGATGGAGCTGAGGTTGCGTAGGTCTCGCAAGGCCTCGAGGTCGCCGTGATTCGTGTGGCCTGCTCCTCTGGCGGTGTTGTTGTTGTTGTTGTTACTGTTGCCGCTTTCCGATAATACTTTCCTGCCCGCGAGATCTCGGCTTGCAGTGCTGTTAACGCTGCTGTTTTCCTTGCCGTCGACAGCTTTGTCGCTGCTGGTGCTGGTGCTGGTGCTGGTGCTGCTCTTGTCGTCCAGCAACCTTGCCAGCGCGACCTTCCGGGAGACATCCTGCAGCTTGTTCGTCGCGGACGTCGTCATGTTCCCGACGGACGCCACCAGGGCTGCACCCGCTGCAGCCACGGAAGACTGGTCCATCTTGGACCGAGCCGGACCACCTCTCCTTTCAGGCTCCTCTCTCTCGCGCGTGTGCGCCCCTTCCCTGCTAAAAACTTCCTGGCCTCTGCCCTCGGTGTACCACGGCTTGCTCTTTTCTGCTGCTCGCGCTGTCTTCCTACAGTCCAGGATATAAGTGACGGTTGGGCTTTTTCCTGAAGTCAGACAGGAAGGCAGCGCTTTCTCTGGTCAGAAGAGAATCCCACAAATCGACGAGCCGATTAGAAATATGCGCTTAGCCTTTCCCTTTCTCTATCCCTCTCGTTCTTGCTCCACTGCTGTGTCTGGCGCGCGGGCGCACGGAACCTCTCCCCCCTCGCGGGGGGTACGCGACCAGCCTTTAGTGGGGGGGGAGGGGTAATTTTTGAAAACATCCTCGTTGGGGGGTAGCGAATTCGTGCGGATCGGCCCGCACACCAGACACATGCCAGTCAGGTGACAGCAGAGAGCAGGCCATGGCCGATGTGGATGGCCTTGCTGGGGCAGGAGCGGGGAAAATTGCGAGACAGGCGCCCGAGAGTATAGGATCGGTTGCAGATTTCATCGAGATCGTGAAGGAAACGGCTGGCAAGCACTTCAAGTGCTGCATTTGTTTCAGGTCAGTTGGCTCTTTCCCTTCCCCACACGACTTGCCCCACCACTTGTGCTTTGAAATATGACGCCCACTGCTTCTCGCTCACACTGGACTGCGGACTGTTTAGCCAGGGCTAATTGCTCATTCTTGCGAAGACAATACTCGATTTTTCTGCAGTTGCAAGGCTGAGACACACTTGTGGTCTGGTTGTTTTGGTTTCATCTACTGCATCGATCGTACCCTGCAGCGCGGTGATACCCATGATCACTTGACAACGCCCAATGAAGTACCACTGACCAAAGGAGCAGGGTAGCGCTAATGTCCTACCTGCATCCAAGGAAGTACAACCCGGCGGCACGGCGAAACCTGTGTACCTACGCCAAGACAGTGAGAACCCCTAAGTGAGAACCCCCACGTACATGTGACGTGGAGGTTATATGGCGTAAGATACCACCTCCCCGGGGACCGATTTTCAAAACCCGACTTCCCTGCACTCTGCACGAAAGCAGCAGTGATGGTGTCAAATGGTGGTGTTGGAACCGTCTCGTCGAGAGCTTTACGGGAATGCACGATTTGATCTTACGTTCCTCTTCATGGCGGTGGAGTCGAGCCTTGAAATTCGTTCCAGTTGTTGTGGTATCTTCTGCGACCTACGGTCTACACGTACACAGCTGTGTAGATCGCCTGCAGCAATGCTTGAAAAGCAGCAATGCTTGCAAAAGTTACGCACAGGGGAGATATCGCTATTTGCTGCTCGGGAAACCGCTGAAATTCAGGTGGCTTCCGCTGACGCTATGAATTCATTGCTAATCTATCGTACTCTTTTCTATGGATAGAGATGAATTTTGTTGTTTCATATCGACAAAGAAAATAAAGGATTACACCCAAGAGCGTGCGACTCACAGGTAGGCGTGATGCGGTAAAAGTAGAGGTGTGCCTCGCGCAAACGGCACGTATGGCAAACTGATACACACACACCAAGAGATACAGAACCCAGTCCAATACTCTGGAGCATGCACACACGCACTCACATCAAATCCTTCAGATCCAAACCACCTCTGTGCATTTGGCGAACACACCCGAGCCGGTGGTGGAAGGAACAGCAGCAGAGGTAGCAGAGCACCAACGCAAGGCGGCCACCGCGGTATCTTACAAGCTGCTGTTGTTCGGGTGAGCGTTATGGTTGCCACAGGCGCGAGTACGCTTGTAACGACACCATGCACCACCGTCAATACACGGCACAGCAGCAGCAGCAGAAGCTCTATATGTCTGTTTACCCTCGTTCGTCCGGACCTCTCCCCGCCGCCCCCCCGGCTTCTCGAACACCCAGCATCCTGGAAGACCCCGTGATGCTGCCATGCAACCACCCCCTGTGCCGAGGCTGCGCTTCGCAGTGCTTCAAGGAGAGCCAGCGATGCCCTCAATGCATGACCCCCATCCCCAACCTGCGGATGCTCCAGGGGCGAAACAAGTGGATCGTGCACATGGTCGACAAGCTAAAGAACTCTATCAACGACGTTGGGGTTAGCCTCACGCAGCACTCGCCAGGTCAGTCTTTTCCGTCATTATTTGCTGTTGGCGCGCGTGTTACGGCGGGACCCCGCGCTGCTACGGTATCGTAGTGTTGTTAAGGAGTTGCGGTTCGGATGCAGTGGCCGTAGAGACTTGAAACGGGCTCCCGAACGCGTTACGACTGCTGTTGGAGGTGGCTCGAATACACGGACTTACATACAAACAATGCAAGTGGTCCCTCTCTCATCCGTGATGCCCGGGTCACATATGTTGGTCACCCCCCCCCCCCCCCCCCCCCCCCCCCCCCCCCCCCCCCCCCCC